CCCCAACATTCAGGTCTGAGCGGCACCCCTATCCAACAAGGCCGCTGGTCCTGGGAGACCAGCCCTGCACCCAGCCCAGGCCCCTCACAGGCACGTGGGGAGGGACGGAGAGTGTGGCTGGGGTGGGGAGATAGCAACCACCTCTGCGGAGACCACACCCTGGCCTGTCCTTGGAGGGAGGTGGCTGCCCCCCTTTGGGAACCTCTGTGGGCGGGAGGGAGGGGACAATTTAAGGGATTAGATTAGGAGCTGCAAGGGAAGGAAATTAACCCAGCTCAGTGACAATGGCTGAACCCCATCCCCCAGCTGGGCTCAGCCACCCCATTCCTGGGCCAATGGTGCCATCGTGTGGTCAGATTCCTCCATAGCAGCTCAGGCCTGCGACTCCAGCCCCACTAAGAAAGATCGTTTAACTCCTAGGTCCAAGGAAGTCCTTGGGATCATCTATTCCAGTGTCAGAAGACCATTTCCCGGACAGAGAACTGGGTCACCCAGGTGGCGGCAATGGGTGAGTGGGAAGAGTAGGGAATTTGGGGTCTAACAGGACAGGGCAATAGCCAGACCATACAACCTAGGGTGTCCAGCTAAGTATGAATTTATCTCCGTGACAGTAAGGAGCCAGAGAAGGTTCTCGGGCAGGGGTGTGACCTGGACAGAGGCTCACCGTGGGCCATCACTCTGGGACCAATGTGCATAATGGATTAAAGAACAGGCAGGAAGGCCGGTGAACCTGCTATCGTCCCAACCTGTGGGAAAAGGGCTAGAATCCCTTTCAACAGAATGTCTGACGCTCAGAGAGGCAAGGTTCTGGAAAGAAGCCTGGCTTTAGAGCCAGGATCCCAGGGTTCGAATCCTAGCCCTGCCCCTTGCTGGCTGTGTGACACCTCACCCCTGGCAGCCTTGGCTTCCCCTTTTGTGAAACCAACTTATCAAATGAATCGCTGAGGAGTCTGAATTCGAAATGGTACCTGTCTATTCCCTAGCACCTAAAGGATGATCCAAAAATGGTAACACAACGGGTGACCTCAATCTGATTCTGGCCCCAAATACTCAAAGGTTGCCATGTCCCCATGAGCAGACCTGGTCTGTCCCATGTCACTATGCCCACCTGAGCTCTGGTGGCCGAGCCTCCAGCCGCAGCAGCTCTGAGAGGAGGCAGGCCCAGCCCCAGGCAGCAGGAGGCCTCCCGCAGCGCCTGTCTCTTCCCTATTAATTGCATTTGCATCTGGAGCAGATGGCATGCTGGGACTCCCCCTGCACCCCATTTTTCACAGAGCACCAGTCTACGAGAAAACCGTGTAATTAAAAGAGGAGAATGCAGAACAATTCCCTTAGTGGACCTTGCCATCTTCCCTTGCTTGTAAATCCATTAATGAACTATAATTGCAAAGACAAAAATCTTATTGAAACCTGGTAACCAATTCACTGTGGGGCCAAGAGTGCCCCACACTCTTGGGGTCCCATTATTATCCAACACATAAGGAAAGGAAAAAATCCTAATGAGCCTAGTCCTGTTTATCTATATTTTTAAAAATAAGAAATAAAAACCAACAAAATTATTGGTTACAAAGTCATGCACCGTCTGCAATAAACCGGCTGCCCCGGGGAGATGCCGGCTCTCCTGCTGCTGGGATTTGCTCATGACCTTCTGCTAATCCAGCTGAGCGGGGAGACGAGGGGGTGGGGTGGAGAGGGCGGATTGCGGGGGGACCCGGAGTAGCTGTGGGGAGAATTATGATGAGTTAGCGCAGGAGTCTGGGCCTGAAAGACCCTCAGATGCGGGCTCCGCCTTCCTCAGAGCCTGGCAACGCGACCCTGGAAGAGCTGGCTCCCCGCCCCAGACACAGGGACCAGGGGGATCCTGGGTCTAGTCCAGGCAGGGCTTCCAGCAGACCCTGACCCCACCCTTGGGGTCACCTGTGGGTCCTGTCCACCAGCTCCCAGGCGCTGGCATCTGATAACAACCCCTCCTCCTCCTTGAGGAACCGCTGCTGAGCCTTCTCAGTCCTCGGGGTCTTGTGCCCTGATCCCAGCCCGGACGGGCACAGGACCCGCTGACCCAGGAGGCTGAATTCTGTGAACTCGGAGCTGGTGGGCTGAGTGTGGGGCTGGGGGACCCACACTCAGCCTGGTGTGAGGTCCTGGTGGAGACCAGAGGCAAGAGGACAGGGAGACCGAGGCCTGACGACACTGCTGAGCCCAGCACCTCCTCCAGCACCTCCTCTAGCACCTTCATGGGGTCCCATCAGCCCCGTTCTGTGCCTGAGCTGGTTGGTGTGAACTTCCTGTCACTTTGACCAGGAGCCCTAACTCGCCCGTCTGGCCCAAGGTGCCTGGGGTCAAATCCCCAGATGGCTGTTTTCGCTGCTTCTCCCACCAGCTGCCGTGCACTCTCCCGCTGGAGCAGCCCTCCCCTCACCATATGGCAATCCTGGGCCCTGGCCCTCTCCATTTGTTGCTCTCATGGACCATCCTGAGGCTCAGCCCCAGGAACCAAGGTCCCACCCCCCTCAGCTCAGCCTGGACTGGGGACTGAGCTAGGCCTGACAGGTCAGGGGACACAGCAGCAGCCCCTGGTCCACCAGTTCTAAGCTTCTGGGCTATGGCCTCTGGCAGCCTATGTTCCGTGGGCCCCTCCCTGGCTCCCACTTGCTGGGTGGGGCCCTAACTCCCTGCCCGGCCCCTACATGCCCCCCTTTGGGGTTCAACCCTGCCCCTCTGCCCTCGGGCACCTGGGTGCAGCTCCAGGCTCCTCCAGGACCTGGTGCACCCTCTGCTGAGCTGTGAGCCTGATCACTGCCGGGAGGAGGGGGAAGAGAGAGGCCACTGGGATCTGCTGAGCACCTACTGTGTGCACGGGGCTGGACGTTCATGGTCACAGGCAGCAATGCAGGGTTCCTGCTGTGGTTGAGAAAGGCCTCAGCGTTAGGTAAACCTAGGAATCCGGCTCCTCACCTACCCGGGCAGCCCCAGCCTGGGATGGGCGACACTGCTGCTAATGCAGAGGGTCCCTGGCAGGACTCACCAGGGCCTCGGCCCCCTTCAGTTTCTCAGCTCTCCCTGCCAATAAGGACTTGGTCCCAGTCAGGGACTCGCCGCTCCACCCCAACAGCGGCCGGCCATCCTGCGCAGGACCCCGCAGGGCCAGCCTCACAGTCACCGCACCTTCCTCAGCTGTGACATGGATGGGGGACCCTGCCCACCCCAGCCGAGGCCTCTGCACAGCCTGCCTCACACCCCATCCAAGTGCTTGTGGGAAAACATGAGCCCCATTTATCTTTTCTTAATTTCTATTTGTTGATTTGAGAGAGAGAGAGAGAGAGAGAGAGAGAGAGAGAGAGAGAGAGAGAGGCCTTGTAGCCAGCTCTCTGAAAGCCACAGTCACCTGAGTGGGCCATGCTGGAGGCTCCCACCTGGCTGAGACCCAAACAATTGCCAATGTTGGGCGCGCTGGGCCCAGCCAACCCACAGACCCGCGACAATAGCAGAGGATTGCTTTGAGCCACCGGGTTTGGGGGCGGTTGGTTACCCAGCAGCAGACTGCAACACCCCTGGACTGGAGAGCTATCAGCCACCAGCAAATGCTGCTTTTCTCTTTCCTAAGGATGGTCGCCCAGTCTCTATGCGCCTGGAAGAAGATATAGGCCTCCCGGCTCCAGGGCCAGCGGCCAGGTAGCTGGCATCCCCATGTCAAACCCATTGACCAGTCAGCTGGGTCCCAGAGGTAGGTGCTGTGGGGGTGGGGTGGGGAATAACCTCGGATGAAGGGGAGTGTGGGCTGAGCAATTGCCACAGGGTGTGACAGGAGCCTCCTTGGACAGCAGAACACCCCCAGCCCAGGGCCAGGCACAGAGAAAGGGCTCAGCGAAAGGTGTGCGTGGTGGTGGGGGTCCTGTCCCAGGGCAGCCCGGGAGGTGGGGTGCTGTGCGGCCCCGTGAGGTGGGGTGCGGTGCGGCCCCGTGAGGCGGGGTGCTGGCGGCCCCGTGAGGCGGGGTGCTGTGTGACATGGCTCCTGGGTGTTGCTGGGGGTTATTCTGCCTCCTGAACTGCCTCTAAGGAAGGCCTCCAGGATGCTCTGAGCTTCCTGTGAATCTGGTAGCAGCACTAAAACGCTCCATTAAACAAGAATGAGTTCAGAAAATCAGCTCAGCTCCCTCTGGGAGGCGAGGAGTTGAATTGTCAGAGGGACGCTGACCCAGGGGGGCCTGGGGGAGACCGGCAGACCCCGGGTGGGGTTGGGGGGTGTTGGGAGTCAACAGGCTTTCCCTTGTGCTGCCCCTGAGGTGGGGGTGCAGCCGTCTGTGCTGAGGGTCAGGGTGAAGCTTCTGAAGCTCCAGGAGCCAAGAGAGAGGACGCCACAGGGGCACCTGGGCCAGCCAGGCTCAGGCTGGGACCCTTCCCTTCACCTCTCACACTCTCACCTCATGTACAACCCAAACCCACTCTCTTCCTCCAGCGATATGGGGGTGACAGAGCACCCTCATCAGTGGTAAGTCCCTTAAGAGCAGGGACTATTTCATAGACCACATCTCCCCACTGTCTGACATGGGGTCTATGCTCTGTAAGTGTTTTTGTCTGCATGAATGAATGAATGAGTGAATGAATCAATGAATGAACGAACGAATGAAGGAGTTTGATGGGGAGCCACTGCCCTTCTCTGTGCCCTTCTTTTGCTGTCCTGGAGTCCTGGATGCAAGTCCTGTCTCTCCAACAGACCCAGTGCTGAGCAAGTCATTTCATTCCCAGACACTCAGCTTTCCCATCTGTGAAATGGGATGACTTGAGTCTGTCCTAGGTAGAGTTACCGAGGGATGAAATGAGATCATGGAAATGAAAGTGTCACTGAAAAGGCAAGACAAATATGAGCGGGTTACAGGTTTAGAGCAGTCGCTGTCATCACTGTTACCACCTCTGTCACCATCTGCCATCACCCCATCACCAGCCACCCTTCCTCCTGCTCCCCAAATAACCACACTGCCTCTGGCCCACTTGGCCCTTAAGTTAAATCACATTTAATTGTTTTTCAGAAAAGAATGGAGATGTCAGAAGAGATTCACAGCACTCACAGTCAGGGAGGGATAACTAACAACAGGAATATATTAAGCTTTTGGTTAAAAAATGCAAACGCAGTCCCAGTTACACTTGCCCTTGTGTTCTCACTCATGCATTGCCCCCAGACACACACACACACACACACACACACACACACGCCCCAAACTCCTGCGCTCCCAGCACTCCCACTCACACACACCCCCCCTGGCAGGGCTCCGAGGCTGGGGCCGAGGGAGAGGCCTGCTGCCATCCCAGGCGCCTGCCCCTCCCAAACCCCCCTCGCTAAGTGACAAAGCTAGACTACACTCGGGGTTCTAGGGGACACGCCCGGACTCTGTGGGCCGAGTGGGGCGGGGAGATGGAGAAGCCGCAGCAGGGACAAGCGGCCTTAGACGATCCTGTTCTCCATGACGGCCAGCCGCTTACTCACAGCTTCCAGTGGGCGGAGTCAAGGAGAGGTGCACGGGGACCAGCGTGGGGCAGTCACATGGGACCCGAACTCCGGACCCCCACTTCCTGTTCCTGCAGAGTCCCCCTCTTCCAGCACTTTCTCTCACCCCCCGAAATTTATCATCCACTGGCCTCAGAATGGTGCTTTCCAAACAAGCCAGAACCATAAGCCCCGCATGTCCAGCTGCAGGCTGAGGCCTGCTGGTCCCCCACTGAGGCCTGAACCAGCCAGGGGAGCTGCTCGAGGCCCAGCCCATCTGAGTGGGAGCTGGTGTTGGTCACGTCACCCAGAGCCTGAGGAGTGGGTGTCCTCGGGCACTGTGTTTTCCTGAGTGTGCCCAGGACTCCGTGTGTGTCCGTCTCTAGATCCTGACCTCTGCCTCAGTTTCTCTGTCTACCCTCTAGGACCCTCTGCGTCTGATAGGGTCAGTATCAAAGCTGGGGTCAGCCCATCTGGCCAAAATTGAGCCTGCCTTCAGCAGGGAGCAGGCAAGGAGGAGCTTGCCCCAACCCCACCACAGCTCCCCTCCCCACCGTGCCTGGCCCCTGCCCCGCCTCCTGTCCCCGCCCCTCCCCTTCCCTGCATCAGCCTCTGGGAAGGATATGTTTCCTGGTCAAGGCCTGCAGCAGCCCCTCCACTTTGGCCTGGAACTTCACAATGGACTCACATTCGCATGGATCTTCCTCTGGAATGGACAGGAAGTAGAGAAAGACAAGGGGGTGAGAGGGGGTTCCAGGCAGGGAGGTGGGGTAGTCACTGCCCAGGGCCAGGACTAGGGAGTCTTGGGGGAATGTGTGGCCCAGGACATCTGAGGGGGCAGAGATACACAGAATTCCTGAGACAGAGCCCCCAGGAGTGATGGAGGGCGACCCCTGCATGTCTTCCTGACCCCCCAGAACCCTGATAAAGAACTCCAATAACAGCACCACTGCGCTGAGCACCTACTGTGTGCAGGACAATGCTGTCAGGGGCCTTTATGTCATCGTGGTGACTCCTCACCCCAATCCTTTGTGTTTAAAATCATGAACCTCATGTACAAATGAGGAACCTGAGAAGTGAAACAGCTTGTCCATGGTCATCAGGTAGTCAGTGTCAGAGCAAAGATGCAAACGCAGGCACTTCTGGCCCTGGGGTCCACACTCTGCCCCTGGGGAACAGCTGGCAAGGTCACCAGGCAGGGTCAGGGGAGGTGGCAGGATTCAAACCCCGGCTCCTCCAGTTATTAACAATTGTTCGATCCCTCTGGCCTTGGTTTTCCTATCAATAAAGTGGGCGTAAAAATATTCCTCCCGAATAGGATTGAACGATTTAATATCTGGAGAGCACTGAGAACAGTGTCACTCATGTGATGAGCCTTCAATAAGCATGTTTGCTGGTAGGAAGAGTTAGACTGTCCAGCCCACCTCCTGGTTCTGCCAGTTCTTGGTGCCACCCCAGCTCCTGCTTTCCCCCACCCACACCCAGTTCCAGGGTGGCTCCATGCCCACCCCAGAGCCCACCTGCCCCTCCCCTCCATGCCAGCGCTGGCCTCACTCACCCACACAGATCTTCTTCTGCAGCTTCATGCCAATCTGGTTGATGGTCTTGAAGTCCGCCGTGTAGAAGTAGTGCTCTGCCACGGGCTCCGAGGCGATCTCCCTCAGCTCGTCCTCCACGGCGTTGCCCACGCCCACGGCAAACATCTTAAAGCCTGCAAGAGGGACAGGACAAGTAAGGCTGGAGGTGGGGCCAGCAGCCCAGCCTGAGCCTCTTGGAGGATGCCTAGGAAATCAACTCCAGACACCTCCTTGTGGCAGCTGCTGGAAGTGCAGGCACGATGCCTGGGACAAAGACATTGAGGAAATAAACATTTACTGAGATTCTACTATACGCCAGGCCTGTGCTGACTCCCTGCCCTGGGGGCTTTGTAACCTCATGTAACTCTCATAACCATCCTCTGGTGGTTATTACTATCCTCACTTAATAGGCAATAAAACAAGGCTCAGGTGTGTCCCCAAGTGGGCTGCCTTTCGGCTACGGTATGTTCTTGGGAACATTCAACTGGAACAGTTCCAACCCCCTCCCACTAGAGGGCCACCAGAAGCAAGCCACTGACTCTTCTGGGGCCTCAGTTTTGTCCCAGTATCAGAAAGACATGGATGCACCAGTCCGTCCTCATTCAAATAGAACCAGGCTTCGGGGCTCTCATCAGAATAGACACTGAGACAAATTACCGGTGGGTTGTGCCACGTGCCCCTGGCCATCATGGTGTTCGGGGCCCGGGAGGGCGCACCTACCAAGGTCCTTGGCCTTCTTGGCAGCATCATTGATGTAGTCCTGGCTCCGGCCATCGGTGAAGACGATGCCCACCTTCTGGGCCCCGGGCCTGGCCCCACTGGACACAGTGAAGGAGTTGTCGATGAGGTACTTGAGGGCAGCCCCGGTCATGGTGCCCTTTTCCATGTAGGACATATTGCGCACGGCTGCCTTGATGTCCTTCTTGGTGTGGTAGCGGCCCAGCGGGAACTCCTGGCGCACGGAGCTCGAGTACTGCACCAGCCCCACCTGGGCCAGCTTGTCTGACACGTCCAGCGTGTCCACGATCTGGTTGATGAACTTCTTCACCAGCTCGAAATTCTCTGGCCGCACACTCTTGGACCCATCGATGAGGAAGACCAGGTCAATGGCCGAACTGCCTCCGCCGCCACTGCAGACTGGGGAGTGGGGACAGGCGAGGAGAGGAAGCTTAAGGGCAGTTGTCCATCCGACCGCTGGCCGGGCACCCAACACACACCGAGCTCTGCGCTGAGGGTCATCCCATCTTGCCCTCTAACTCTCTCTAGAAAGCCAGCGTTTACAGCTGGAACATCATAAAGCCCAGAGGTCGTAGCACCAAGAGATGAACTCAAGATGTGTAACTCCTTCCACCACACCAAACCGCCAGCCATTGTGTCAGAAAGAGGACATCAGGCAGGAATTTTCGGTGACATCAAACCCTAGAACAGTGGTTCTCAACCTTCCTAATGCCGCGACCCTTTAATACAGTTCCTCATGTTGTGGTGACCCCCAATTTCATGGTTACAAATTGAATATAATTAAAGCATAGTGATTAATCACAAAAACAATATGTAATTATATGTGTGTTTTCCGATGGTCTTAGGCGACCCCAGTGAAAGGGTCGTTTGACCCCCCAAAGGGATCGCGACCCACAGGTTGAGAACCGCTGTTCTAGAAGGAATCTATCACCTTCGCGGATTGGTGTGGGAAGGCTCAGACGACTGAGAAGTAGCCCAGACCCGTCCCTTCCTCAGCCCCCTCCCAGGGCTGCCCGGGCCCAGCCCACTGACCGTTGCAGGTCTTGCCGTCACTGTTCAAGGTGAAGCCCTCGCGGCAGGCGCAGGAGTAGGAGCCCGGGGAGCTGACGCACACCTGCTCACAGTCATGGTCTCCCGTGGCGCACAGGTCTGACACCACTGTGGGGACAGAGGGGACTCGGAATCTCACAGTCGCAGGGCCTGGCTATCTCAGCCAGGATGGCCCGCACACACTCAGGGAAACGGAGGCCCCTCCCGGGTGGGATCCAGGCCCCAGAGCTCAGCCCAGGGCCGGAATCACTGCACCCGGGCTGACATCCCTGAAGAAGGCGATGACGCTGATTATAAAACCAACACTTCCTGCTAAAAAGGTAAAGGCCGCAGGGACAAGGGTTTGCTTTGCTGGTTCGTTCACCGCTGTATCCCGCGTGTCTAGAGGAGCTCACGCAGCGGAGAACGCAGCGCGGACAGGACGCTCAGCCGACATCCGTCACATGCCGCCCACTGGGCGCTCTTCCATGCGTCATCCCATTGGATCCCCACAATCAGATGCAGGTTTTCCTCCAACGCATTTTCCAAATGGGGACCTCACCCTGGCCCCGCCCATCCTGCTCGAGACCCCGCCCCTTAGGACGGGTCACGCCCCAAAGACTGCGCACAGCCCCACCTCCCCTCTTAGAAGGACTAAACCTTCTCCCGCCCAGGGCCCACGCCGCTCCCATCCTCCCGCATCGCGGAACACTGACGCCCAAGCCCCGCCGCCATCACGCACAGGCTTTTTAGGGCCTCTCTTTACCGGATTCCCGCCCCCCTGGTCCCCACCGGGAGCTGCCACGTAGAAGGGTTCTTGGATGGCCTCTGCCAGATCCGCACCTCCGCCCCGCCCTGGCCTCGCCCCCGATGCTGGCTCCATCTCAGTCCCGCCCTAGAGCCCCCGCCCCGCCCGCCCCGCCGCCCTGCGCACAGCAGAAGGCCTCCTGGAACTTCTTGGCCAGCTTCTCGATGACGTTGTAGCTCTCCACGTAGTCCACGTGCTCCTCCTGCGGCTCGCTGGCGATCTGGCGCAGCGTGGCCTTGTCCACGCGGCCCACGCCAATGGCGAAAAGCTCGACGCCGCTGGCCCGGGCTCGCGCAGACACGTCCCGCACGCTGTCCTGGGGCCTCCCGTCCGTCACCACGATGACCACCTGCGACACGCGGGATGCTGTGAGGCGCTAGGCCGGGCCGGGCGCTTGGCCCTGCAGCACACCCCGGGCCGGGCCGCTGGCGGGAGAGGAGACCGAGCCTAGCTGGTTGCAGGCGGATCCACTGCCCGCCAGGGTTCTGCCCCGGGAAGAGAACGAGGCTAGAGGACAAGACAGGTGTCCTCTACGGAAAGACCAGGCTGAGGTTTCTCCCGTCCCACTGGGCCGTCTGATGTCTCCTGCATCCGGCAGGCAGGGGTCGGTCGGGACCAGGTCTCCCCACCCCCACCACCACCCCCTCCGCCCAGACTGGGGCCTCTCAGGGGGTCCAAGTGTGCCCAACACCGTGCCGTTCTGCCTTTTGGCCACCAGAGGGCGGCAGAAGGAGGGGCCCTTCCCACCTAGATGCCATCAGAGGAAAGGAGACCACCTTTCCTCCCTCCCTTCCCAGATGCTAGGTGTCCTTTCCACAGAGGAAACGCCTGTCTGCCCTCCTCCCACAAGACTCCTCTGTTCTGCACCTGGAAAGGGAGACAGAGGGGACCCTGGCGCCCAGATGAGGGATGTCAGCCCCCATCTCCCCCTGCCAGAGCCTGCCCTGAAGCTGGGTCCTCACGGCTCTGCCAGACGCTGGGACTGGGCATCCAGCCCCCTTGGCTGCTTCTCAGCTTCTGACCTGGACCTGCTTCTGGTTCCTGGGTCCCCTCCCCTGGCCCGGGTGCCCAACCCCCGCCTTGTGACCTGTATATAGTGGTTTGGACAGGGGTTAGAATTGCAGCTCCCCCACAAGTCACAGCTCACCTTCGAGCCTCTGTTTCTTCGTCTGCAAAAGGAGGTTGTGGTGAGATGATTCAGGGTCAGAAGCCAGGAAGGGGGACTATGATTTGTAGCATCACTGCCCTGGGTCCCTTGGGGAGTGAGCTTGCACAATCTCTTCCCGGCCGGAGGCCTGGGCTCCTGGCTCTGAAAACCTAGCCGAGACTATTCACAGCCACAGGCCTTCATCAGAGGTCCACTCCACTGTCTCCCTGAGTCCCCTTCAATCCAGCTTTGGGACTTTCCATCCACCTTGTAAGGCTTCCCACAGGTGAATTCCAGGCAGAACATCTAATTCTGGTGCCGGCTCCCTGACCTCTGTCTGTCTCAACAAATGGAGGACCTCTCCTCCTGTGCCCACCCCAGGCCACTGGCCTGAGCCGGGGTGAAGCGCTTAGCTCCGGAGACGTGACAACTCCAGATGTCACCACCCACCCCTTCACCTCTCTCCATTGGGACCACCCGGGCCACCACATCCTCCCAGTCACCTTGACCATCAGCCTCATGTCAGAACTTGTCAGTGGCCCCCACAAAATAAGACCAGCAGGCTGTCCGAGGTATCATTTCTTGGAGGGCTGTGATGGCTGGGGCTCTATGCTACTGTCTAGGAACACTTCTCCCACTTTTGAGCTGGGCAAACTGCTGAAGCTCCCTGTGCCCCAGCTTCCTCCTCCATGAAATGGAGACATGTCTCAGTCATGCACTGCGTGCCAGAGAGTGGGGTACAGAAGCGGGTGAGGAAGAATGCTTCCCTGGGCTAGGGCTCTGGGCAGGTAAAGGGCAAGTCTTCCGTCCAACAGGACAGCGATGGGGAGGATCGGGAGCCTGTGCAGGACCAGTCGGGGAGAGGACTGGACTCGCAGGCCCTGGGCTGAGTCCTGGGAAAAAATCACACCATTTCCAAGGTCTGTGGAACACCCAGCTCCGCCCCGAGCCCTTGCTGACTGTGCGACTTGTGTGTCTGAGCCCCTGCCCTCGAAGGCGTATTAAATAAACCATTAGCTAGCGTGTAACGGGGCTTATTAGGTACCAAGCCTGTTCTGAGCACTTTGTGCTTACAAACTCGTCTAGTCCTCCTCGGAGCCCCTTGAGGAGGCGTTACGTGACTCCCATTTTACAGGTGAGGAAACTGAGGCACGTGAGATGAAGTAACTCGCTCAGGGTGGTAGAGCAGGGACTTGAACCCAGACAGGCTGGTGGTGATGCCCATGCCCTTGACCGTCACGTGAACATCTGAACTGCCTCACCCTGCCTTCGAGGAGCCCAGACTGCCTGGGAAGCCAAGGTCAACTAAACAGAAATAATCAAATACATCCCTGGGGTCCGAAGGGTGGGGAAGATGGGTTCGGCTCTGCCACTTCTCTTGGTTGGGCCTGCTCCCCACCTGTAAATGGCCACCTCGCAGGGGTGCTGGGAGAATTCCAGTGTACGCAGGCAAAGCTCTCAGCTCCCAGTGGGAGCCTGCAAACTGGGGGACCCCAGCAGGGCGGGGGAACGGGGCGTGTACCTTGCTGATGTCCGGGGACTTGGCGCGACCGCCCTCAGCATCACTCAAGGCCTTGGTGATGGCGAACTGGATGGCCAGGCCAGTCATGGTGCCCGTGGACAGCGGCCGGATGCGGCGCACGGCCTGAAGCAGCGCGGCCTTGGACAGGTGGGCCCGCAGCGGGAACTCCTGCTTCACGGAGCTGGCGTAGTTGACCACGCCCACTCGGGTGGCATTGGGCCCCACATTTAGCGACTCGATGACCTGGGACAGGAACACCTTCACCTTCTCAAACTCCACGGGCCTTACGCTGCGCGAGCTATCGACAACAAACACCAGGTCCGTGGGCCGGGTCCGGCAGAGGTGCCCTGGGAGGAGGAGGAGGAGGGAGGTGGCAAAGAGCAAGGGGCAGAGATCAGAAGGCTGGACGAGACACTCAGGCAACGGGGCAGAGCATCAGGGGCTACTTGGACCCTGACCAGAGGCCTCGGGCAGCGTAGCCTGCCGTGGAGCCAGGCTGTCTTGAGCCTTGACCAGCATGTGGACACTCGGCCTCACAGCTCAGCTCCTGGGAAAGAAGCTCGGATTCTGGCCTTGGGTGACTCACTTCACCTCTCTGAGCCTCAGTTTCCTCATCTGTACAATGGGCTGATAATCCCGTCCTTCCAGGATCCTCTGAGGATGAGCAGAAGTGCACATCGGGTGCCAGCCCAGGGCTGGGCCTGCAGTGGGTGTTCAGGGAGCAGCAAAGGCAGGCTGCCCTTTAAAACCTGCTGCTCAGGTTTGTGCCCAGAGAGCCTCCATAAACAAGGAGCAGCTGTTTCTCCGAGCTGGGCCGCAGGGCGCCGAGGGTGGGCCCTCCGGGGTGGACGCGGCCTTGAGGCCCAACGCAGCGCCGGTCAACATGGGCTCTTTCATCTGAACATCAGAGCAAATCACCAAGTGGACCCAGTTTCCCTCCCTGGCGCGGCCTGCTGGCTGGTGTCCAAGGGCAGGGGAAGGGGCAGAAATGTCTAGTAGCCGCCGTGGCGGCCTGACCAGGCGGGCCCCCAGGGCACACCCCCCAAGGAGAGATGTCTGTCCAGACTCCCTGGGAGGCAGCTCTGGGAGCTTCTGTTTCCTCTGCCGTGGGGAGAACGGCTACCGCTTGATGAGGTCACTGGCCTGGGCCTGCAGCCAGCGGGGCTCAGGGCAAAGGCTGTTCCCTCTCCACCCACAAGGAGTCCAGACTGCGCCCAGCTTCTCCCAAATACGGGAATGCGAGCGTGCTCTCGGCGGCCCCAGGTCCCAGCTCCCAGCCCCAGTCCCCTACCCAGGCATCAGAGTTCCCCCAGGGGCCTTAGAAATGACCTTGCAGCTGCTCCCTGGTCCCCTCTAGCTAATGGCACAAGGGGTAAACTGAGGCAGGGAGGAAGAGGGAAATGGCCACAGCATAGAGCAATGGATCAAGACCCAGAAGGATCTGGGGCTCTCTCACTGGGTGGTCTTAGGTCCTCCCCTGTGCAGCCTCAGTTTCCCCATCTGTAACGGAAGAGTTGGGTATTCCAGGATTCCGGGGCCACGGCTGAAACTCCGGAAAGGGTACCGCATGCATGGAGCCCAATCCAGGATGCGCTGAAAGGGCTGGTGACCAGAAATGGAGCCCCCCTGACCCCCAGAGGTACACGCCTCTCACAGAGCCATGCGCTCAACCCTGGGCACGGTGCAGCCCCAGGCATCAGCGCTCTCTGCGTAGCTTCTGACCTCAGCAACCCAAGAGACAGCAGTCCCTGCAGCGTGAATGGGCCCTGCAGGCAGCCCGGGGCCTGAGAAACCCCAGGAAATACTAAGGCTCCAGGGAGAAGCCCACTCATGGCCCCGACAGGACAGACTGAGGGTCATGCCAGCCCTGGCCCTTGTGCGCGTCACCATCTCTGTCTGCTTCCGCGCTGGCCACCCTGCCTCCCGCCCTCTCCTCTCTTGGATCCATTTGCTCTCTGCCCATCTCAGTGCCCAGTCCCCAGGCTGTTGGTCAGCGGCCAGTCGTCCAATGTCCCCCATCTCACATAGGCCCCCTCACCTCTGGGTTGGGGGGCGAGGCCATGTGTGCGTGGGGCCAGGTGCAGCAGCAGCAGAAGGCAGGGCACGAGGACGGCACCAGGGATGACCCTCATGGTCCTGGCAGCGCAGGCAGCAGCCAGCACAGCTGTGGAGGCCAGGAGGCTCTGGGTCTTATCAACCTTGCCGCCCAGCCTCCCAGCCAGGAGGCCCTGCCCTGCCCCTTGCCTCCTTGGGGGGTGGGGCCCGGCTAAAAGGGGCTGTGTGTGTGTGGTGTGTTTCCCTCCCTCCAGAGAGGGCAGGGAGGAAGCTGGGATAGGGCTGGAGAGGCCCCCGTAACCACAAGGCCTCCTTTGCCTCCAGAAGCAACCAGAGCTGCAGCTGCAGCTCAGGAAATCTCAGGTGGGTGGAGGGCGCTCCTCCAGCGGCTGGAGCCTGCACGGACCTGCGGCTGCGACTCCAAGGCCAGGGAGACCTGAGTCCTTGGCCTCACACCCCAGCCCTGCCCTGCGGCCTATCCCACACCCCAATTCTTCTCTCACCTGCAATTTCAACCCCAATTTTCTCATTAAACACACCCCCCTTCTCCGGCCTCGGCTACCCCTTGCCTCTCCACATGAGGCCTGCTCTCCAGCTGCACCTGGGTTCTCCGAGCTCTCATCCAAGGCTTTGCACTTGCAGGGCAATCTGCCCAGACGGTCCTTCCTCCCACCCACCCTGCCAAACAGACTCTTCCAAGATCATAATTGGAGTCACGTGTACATGAGTGCTTGGTAGGTGCCAGGCAGCAAAGATGGCCAAGGGCACAGACTTGGAGGCAGATGCGCTGGATTTGCGGTAAACTACCTGTGTGACCCTGGGCAAGTTGCTTCACCTCTCTGTGCCTCCAATTCCTCGTCTGGAAACGGGATTCGAACACTGCCTACCTCCTAGAGTTGATTTGAGGAGCAGAGTTATATGGACGATCTCATTTCATTCTCTTGACAATCCTGTAAGGCAGCTACTATTAATACCCTCATTTCCCAGGTGAGGAACTGAAGAACAGAGAGGTCGAGCAACTTGTCTAAAGTCACACAGCTGAGAAGTATCACTGCCGGGAAGTGCCCGGCCGGTGTTCTCAGCTGCCTGCTTTCTCAGGTGTAGTGTGGTGGAGGTGCCTTCTCCATGCCCACCTCCCCCCCACCCCCCCACCCTCCCACCCCCGCTCATCTGCGTTCAGCCCCCTCCCTGGGCTTCTGTGCATTATCTCTCATCCATGAGTAGGTAAGAGTCTGGTTGATTCATTTCTGCATCCAGGCCCAGCCCAGGGTCTGCATGGAGGAGGCAAAAATAAAGGTTTGTAAATAAAGGAACATAACCCTGGTCGGTGTGGCTCAGTCGGTTGGTCGTCCCATGCCCTGAGAGGTCACCCGTTGATTCTCAGTCAGAACACATGCCTGGGTTGCAGGTTCAATCCCTAGTTGGGGTGCATGCAGGAAGCAGCCAATCAATGTTTCATTCTCACATCGATGATTCTCTCTCTCTCTCTCTCCCTCTCCCTTTCTCTCTCTCTCTAAAAATCAATAAAAATTTTTAAAAATAAAGGAACATAATTAGGAATGGTCCCTACCATTGCATCTAGGGCCAGTGGTCGATGGGGTAAAGTGAAAAGAGCATGGGCTTGGCCCCCTGAGAGACCCAGCTTCAAATCCACCTCTGCTGTTGACCAGCTGTGTGCCCTGGAGCTGCTGACTTAACCTCTCTGAGCCTTGGCTTCTTATCATGCAGTGGGAATGGCAGTACTTGGCCTGCCCGCCTCCCGGGACCATGGAAGGAGGCAATGAGAGGACAGAACTGGAGATGGGGGCCAAAGAAGTATTATCTTCCCAGGGGGTAGAATCATTAACACTTAAGACCTGTGCACTTCACTCTATGTAAGTTGTACCTTAATAAAAGGAAAGGTACAAACATTATCCTTAAAATGATTGCCGGGCACAGCTGACCCAGCCGACATTCTCACAGCCTTCATCAATAATGGTACAGTCGCTCACGCTGTCACTGTACTTCTTTGTTCTCCCAGCAAACCTTCGATGCCAGCAGATCCGAGTATATTAGCCCATTTGTCAGATGAGGAAACTGAGGCCCAGAGAGGTCCATGACTTGCCTGAAGCCACCCAGCCAGTTAGAGGCAGAATCAAGCCTGGAACTAGGTCTCAGTCCCCTTTGCCCCAGTTTAAGAGAACGAGGAAGTTAAAAGCATTTCCATGTAAGTTTCATTTATTCATATAATTCTTAGCCCTCCCCCATTTCTAAAACTGGGGTGCTGCTGGTTTCTTTTCCCTCTGCAACTTCTAAGCCTAATTCTCTTCTCCAGAGACAGGGCAGGCATGATGGCTGTGGTACTTGTCAATTCCCCAAATTGTGTTATGAATGTGTTACTGCCCCCGCCCCCGATGTGTCAGCTCCCCCGGAGCAGGGGTCTGGCCTGTCTCGCTCACCACTGAATCTCCAGGTCTCAGCATGGTGCCTGGAGCAGGGTGTCTGGTGTGCAAATGAAGAAATGCACTAAAAGAAAGAACTGCCCGACTGGTGTGGCTCAGTGGTTGCACATCAACCTATGAACCAGCAGATCAGGGTTCAATTCCCGGTCAGGGCACATGCCCGGGTTGTGGGCTCAATACCCATCGGGGGATATGCAGGAGGCAGCGATCAATGATTCTCTCTCATCACTGATGTTTCTATCTCTCTCTCCCTTTCCCTTCCTCTCTGAAATTAATAAAAATATATTTTTTTAAAAAAGGAAAAAACTAATGATGAAGGGTCAGACTGGAGTCAGCAAAGGGGACCGGTGGTGACAGAGGCAGAGCGGCCCCGGGAACGGAGGACGAGAAGAACGTGAGCCGGGGCCCCTCGCCCAGAGCCCCCTCCCCCCGTGGACAGGGCTGTGTCCAGGGCTCCGGGTGCAGAGCTGTTGGCCGGGGCGGCAGCTGGGCCCATGAAACAGCCCTTTCAGCTTGGGCTCTGAATAGCTGGTCTATGGACGCCTGGGAGGAACACAGGCGCCTTTTCTGGGTCACTTCTCTGCTCATTAGCGGAGCCACAGAAATATGCGACAGGTAAGCTTTCAGGAACAGAGAGGGAGCCGCCCCAAAAGGGGGCAGCTTTACATTCCAGAGCGAGAGCCGGGATGGCGGGCAAGGGGACCTGGAAGTTCAGCATATACATTGAGGAAAGAGAATAAATATTTGTCTTTTAAAAATATGAAACATGTCTCCCCAGGAATCAAAACTGGGAACAGTGTGTCCGGTATTGGCCAGAGGAAAAAACTGCATGGAGGGGCCGTCCTCCAGGCCGCTCCCCAGGCAGGACTCCTGCTGTTCCCTCTCCTTGTTTTCACACACCTCACACCTTGGGCTGCCAGAAACTTAAAGCCTTTAGTGTTTTATCCCAGAGAGAGAGCATTTGTGATCAAGTGAGGCGCCCCTCGGCCGTGTGGCTCAGTGGAAAGCGCACCGGACTCCCGCAAGGCTCAGTTTCTCTCCGAAGGAGCAAACCTGGTCACCTCGAGCTCCCAAGACAAGAGATGCAGCCCGGTCTGGGGCAGCATGTCCCCTTCCCCCTCCTCCCACCGTCGTCACAGTGTGGCTGCGTCCACATAAACCTTGACCGGCCCCCTTGCCCCAGTTTAAGAGAACGATTTATTTCATCTTTCTCTCAAAATCCAAACCCACTTGCTGGTTGAAAAAATGTCTCCTGCTCCCAAGAAGTAACAGCCATGACATCACTGGTTTGATATAGTTTATATGTTTGTTCTGATATGCCCTTAAATAAATTAGACACAGGTTCGATGTAACCTTTTCACCCACTTAGTGCCAAAAATTACCTTGCGTTCTGCCAGTGGCACGCAGGCCAGACTCGGAGGCATCCTGTGAAGCGAAACCACTTTGGGACCAGACAGAGCTGGGTTTGATTCTGTCACCTGCCAGCGGCGTTGACTGCAGGTGACTCCCTTCACTTTTCTGCTCTTGGGGGTCCCATTTGTAAGTTGGGGTGTCTATGGCAGTGGCACCGGTGGTTGAGAAGGAAATGTAGTGAATGCTGCGTCAGTGTTGTTTTCACTGTGTCTCCTGTCGTAGTCAGGATCGAACAGGTTAAGCTGCAGTAACAAACAAGCCCTCGGTCACAATGGCTTTAACACAAGGGCCTGTTTCTGTCTCGTAACACGGGTGGATAGTAGACAGTCACCTCTCTGCACAGGCTCTCAAGGCGGCCTCTATCTTTCTGTCCCATCGTGTCCAAGTCCTTCATCTCCAGCCACATGGATGAGAGAGGGACAGCAAGGGTCTCTCTTACTGCCTCAGACATGGAGTGCACAGCACTTGACTGCCTAGAAGTCCGGGGGTGGGACGTGGGTATTTAGTGAGCAGGGACCCCTCCCCGGTGAAGAAAGCTTCTGTTGGCACTATATTCCCTCTCCATGAAAATTCAAACCTAGCTGGCATTTAGGGCACTTCTCAAGCTCTTCCCCGGCCATGCCAGCCTCTCTCCCTCCCCTCCCCCATCACCCTCGGTTCTCTGCCACACAATGAGTCACACTCTCCTTAGTTTTAGCACATTTTTTTTGCGGGGGGGGGGGGGGAGGGGCCTTAATTGCAGCACATTTTTTTTCAGATTTGACTTCCTGGGGTTAGGGACTCTCACCCCAGGGGCCCTGAGACTCTGCCTTTTGCAGCAGCCATTTTCAGAAGTTGCGCCCAGTGACTCATCTTGTTTGGGGGAAACATAAAACCTTGAATCTCAGGCTCTGAAGGAGACGCAGACAGCCTGCACCCATCACGCTCATTCTGGAGAGGTGGTTAAAAACACAGAGTCCACCCGTGCTGGATGCCTTCTTGTGGCCAGAGGGTCAGCCCACAGCCCTGGGGGCAGCTGTCAGAGGTTCCCGCTGTCAATCAATCGTGTAGACTCTGTAGAGGGAGGGCTTGGGGTTGCACTGGGAACTGTAGCAGGCCTAGGCCCAGTTGGTCCCCCTCCCCATGGCCCCCAGCCCACCTCTGGGTCCACCTACAGCTGCAGCAGACAGCTCCCATCACCCTGACAGTGAGCAAGGCAGCCTGGGCATTTCACATCCGGAGGGCAACCCTCACCCAGCGGGGGATGAGCACTGTGAACGAATACCCCAGCTCCCCACTGCCCCCTGCTGGACAGTTCTGAGATGTGCTCCTCACGGGCCCTGCGGGGGTGGGGGTCCCCAACAGGAGTGAGCCCCCATTGCCCACAGGCGTGAACTGGTTGTTAATGCACTTTATACTGGCTTTTATCCCTTCCCTACCTCACCTCCCCTCTCTCTGCGTTTCCTGGGACCACCTCCCAAATAAGCGGCCTGCGCCCAAGTCTGTGTCTCGGGACCTGCTTTGGGGGAATTTAAATGAAGCTAAGGCAAAGCTCTCTCCAGGGTGGGAGTCCAAGACGAGGCTGTGTTTGGGGCTCTCCTAGGGGAGAACAGCCCCGACAGGTGAAGGCAAGAAAGGGAGGTGTCTGTATAGGACCCTGTGGCCAGCTGGGGGCGCTGTCAGAGGTTCCCGTGGGGAAGGACTCCCACTGTCAATCATGCTGAACAGAACAGCATCCCCATCTAGATCAGCTGCATTATTCTGTTTTATCCCTCCTTCCGTTACCCCAAACTGGCAACAAGTTTGGTAAAGGTTTGTTTTTTGTTGTTTTTTATTGTTTAAAGTATTACATATGTCTCCTTTTTCCCAACTAACTCCCCACCACCACCACTCCTGTCCCCCAGGACAAGCCCCACCGCCCCAGTGTCCGTGTCCATGGTGATGCTCGTATGCACGCATACAAGTCCTTTGGTTGATCTCTTATCCCCGGCCCTCCCTTCTCTCTGAGGTTGGACAGTCTGATCAGTGCTTCTTAGCCTCTGGACCTACTTTTCTTCATCAGTTTATAAAAAAGCAGATTCTCAGGCCCCATCCCAGGCCCAGCAAACCTGTATTCCTAAGCTCTCCAGGTGGTTCTGATGTAACTAAACCACCAATTTCTTCCAGCCTCCCAGATGAAACATAAATTCTCTCTCTGTCTTGGGAACAGCTCTTGGGTAGGGAGCTTGCT